AGATCTTTTGGTGTGCGAGCTTTTATTGGCCATTAAAATTGCATATCTTCTTGCTGCTCTTGATGACTTTTAAAAACTGGCATTTGTAGACGATTCTTGTGTAAAACACTGAATGCTCGTCTTGATGTTATCAAAGCTTTTTTTTTTCTGTGAATGGCCTTTAACCAGACCAAAGCATTCAGCTATGTACACATTCGTGCGTGCCCGGATGGGTGTCGGTTTGCCGTGTGGCCATTTGTGATGTTAGTGATCTTAGCCAATCCTTACCCTGTAGCAGGATGCCACTCCACGCTAACTTTACTATTTATTATGCCCTACTATAATAATCAGGTACATAATATCTGTTTTTTTGAAAAACAACTCTGTAATATAGCAGAATCTATCTACTTTCATTTCCCGTTAGCTAGGAAGCGTGAGTATTACAAAATTCACAATCTCTACATTGAATTAATCTTTAAAATAAAACATTGGAGATTACAGTGCCACTAGTACCATTCATTAAAATCTGCATACTAAAAACAGAACAGGAGAGCATCAGGAAGCATGTTATCTAAATTTTATTTACATAAATCTCCCCCTTCCATATATTCACCTCTTCCACTCAGGCCTTCTGATTATCAGCAAATAATTTTCAAATTGCCCAGGTTTTTATCTCCTTATTGATTCCTGGCAGGTCTTGTCCATCAGGACAAATTCTAGCAGCCTTATAAAGACTCTAAAAATGGAGCTATCGATACATCCCAGTTCGTGGTCTTAGCGAAAAAGCCTGGTATACGGCGCTCGTTTGTCTAGTGTACCCACTGACAGAGCCTCCACTATTTTGTTCTCACAACGGCGTCCCGAATTAGACCATTAATTTAGACAGTCACAACACTAAATGAACAACAGAAGAAGCTGAACTTTGAAACTGGAAAGCTGATATCCAACTTCTTGGAAAAACCTTACTACTAACTTTTCTTCTAAGCTCTCAACTTTATAAAGACAAAGGTGACGAATAATTTACTGATTAGAATCAAATAAACTTTGTATTGTTCACTGTCTTAGTTCCTAGCAGGCATTCAACTAATATTAATTAGTCTCCTCTTATTCGCTACCCCTCTCTTTCTCCACAAACCGCCACATATACAAATTCAAGCAGGTTCTATCCTTAATCCTCTTCTAAGCTTGTGGTTATTATTTCACTAATTATTTTTAATGAGATGAATCAAACTCTAGTAGCCATTGTTTTAAAGCCAATCTAGCTACAATAAAAACTGTTGGGATTAGGAGTTAAAAATGGCTATTAAGATTTAACCAGTTACCAACCATTTCTGCCATTCACTAGCTGATTCATCTTAAGGTAAAATTTACAAATCTTCATTAGACTGCTTCCTCATCTGAAAAAACTGGGGATGTTACAGTTTATATGCCTATCAAAAGTACCGTCGATGATTAGGAAAAAACTGAAATAATGCGAATAAATGGAATTGTAAATTGTAAAACAGGTAGGGAGAAATGTTTACGTTTAACTTTTTTAAAATAACAATACTCAGTTTTATCTATGAGCTCTACTCAGATTACACACAAGATTGTTAAGCTTATGGGGGAAAGGGGGAGAAATGGCCTTTATTGATGCCAACAACTAATCCAAGTTTCTGACTGTCTAAGAAATACCTCCTTTTTGCCTATCCCAGCCACTGCCTCCACAGTTTTAGTATTAATCAAAAAAATACTTTGGGGGCAAAAATCAGCTACATTATGCAAAAACAAATATGGGTATTTCAGATATCAACTGTAGCAATAGGTTTAATTAATAGTCTGTCATTGGGGGGGCTCCAACAGGAAACAAAACAACCTATATAAAATAGAATGTGATGCAGGAAATTGGCTACTAGGCATTGACAAAAAAGAAAACAAAACATAAAGCCCAAAAATGGGACAGTGAGAACAGCCAAGATTAGCAGGAGGAGGAAACTGCTAACCTGTTGGGTTAGAGGGCCACAAGAGAAAGAAGCAGTACTCCAGATGGAAGCCTGAGTTATTAGACAGGACTGTCCTGTGGAGAGGTGGGACTCAGGAAAATACAGCCATGTCAGAAATCATTTCCAGTGAAAGGAGAGCGGAAGAAATAACTTACGCGTTTCCTTCCTCTGCCTCCAACTTTCCAAGGATTTCCCCGGGGACAAGCAATGGAAATGCAGACTGCAAGTGGTCAGCCTCCCTGTCACGGGCGAAAAGTGAGGGAATGAGCAATGGTGTGTGGCAAACAGACCCAGGACCTGCACAATGGTAGTTACTGCCTACTCTAGGAAATACTATGAAGAAGGCCCACTGTTACTAGGGTGCATAAAAATAGTATTATGTTTCTCTTAAAACTTAAGTAACATTAGGAGGATTAACTTACGCAAAGATTTGGATTTATCTTCTGTTAAATTATTTTCCTTTCTTGTGAAGCCATTTAATAGCAAAAAGCTTACTAAAAATTGTGACTTCGTTCAACAAGTTCATCTGATGCCCTTCTCCAATAGGAAATAGGATCGCTGTAAAGCAGTAACCCCACACAAAAGCTAAATTATGTTTTAGATTTGTTACTTGGGTCTTTCCCCCAATTGCCTTAGTGGTGTTTCTGGAAATCTTTGTTTTTTATTCTAATTTTGATTCAACAGCAATCTTGCAGTTTCCTCCCTAATTCAACTTTTCGTTTGGTTAGAGTTACCAGTAGCCTGTCCATCAGTGTACAAGCAAGAAATCAGCGCCCACTTATTCATTCATTTACTTTAACAAATATTTATGCAAATTCCTAACATGTGACGCAGCATAGTAGCTCGACGCCGGTTGCTAATCCACACTTTGGGAAGGCCGAGGCCCAGGCCAGATCACGGAGGTCAGAGATTGCAGACCCATTCTGACCGGCAAACATGGGTGAAACCCCTGGTCCTCTACTAAAAATACAAAAATGTAGCGTTCCGGGGTTGTCGGTGGTGTGTGCCTGTGGTCCCAGCGGCTACTCAGAAGGGCTGAGGCAGCAGAATCACTGAAACCCGGGAGGCAGGAGCGTTGCAGTGAGCTGAGATCACATCACTGCACTCCAGCCTGGGTGAGAGAGTGAGGACTCTGCGTCTCAAAAATAAAAAAAAAATTAAAAACTTTAAAAATTCCTAACATGTGCCAAACTCCATGTTTACACTAGAGACACAAAACAAGAGGGGAAAAATAAAGTACCTGCCCCTGTAGAGCCTATAATCCAGAGGAGTGAGGGTAGAAAATATTAATCAAATAATCATATACTCAAATATAAAAGTGAAATTATGACACTGCTAAATAAATCTAGAAAAATGTTAATAACTGTGTGATATGATTCATCTCTAAATTCTTAGTCCATTTCTGTACTAAAACAATCCTTCCATATAAGCTTATAATTCAATCGCTTAGTAACTAACCCCTTCATAATAGAAAACTCTGTTATTCTTTATAGTTTATGCAGGCTTGAAAATGTGTGATTGTTTTTTAAAAATGGAGTAGCTAGAGTTTGCAGATCAGAATACTAGAAAGGAAACAGCTACACAGAGAACTCCAGACAGCTGCAGAGAGTCCTCTTCAAGTATTTAGGAGAGTATTAATCCCTGAATGTACGTGAGGAAAGTACTCAGGGATAGGGAAAGAACTACTCAAAAAGATTAGAGAGAATGATACCAAGTATTCACAGAGACCAAGAATGGTGCCTGTTCCTATCAGCGAAACTGGACACTTCGTAATTCCTGAGACATTGGGTAGAGTACTCAAAAAGGTCTTTCCTCAGTAGTAAGATTAAGTTATTGGCCTCATCTAACAAATCTTAAAGGCATCAAAACATTTTCCAAATAGTTTTACTGTGTTCCAAAACAAAATTCAAGCATATTTATAAATACAAAAATATCCAGCACCCAATCAAAAAATTACCAGACATGCAAAAGCACAAAGGAATGACTCATAATGAAGAGAAAAATCAGTCAATTGAACCCAAAACTGACAGAGATGTTAGAATTGGCAGAAAAGAATATTAAAACAATTATAGCTGTATTCCATATATTCAAAAAGAAACATGGAAGATATAAAAGAGACTCACATTTAATTCCTAAAGATGAAATCTACAATGTCTGCAAATATAATATGAGATTTTGACCTGAGTCACTGGAATAAAGATTACCAGTATTATTAGTAAAACAATAGAGCTTAGATAAGATTATAGTAAATTTGGTTTGGGAGAGATGTGTAAAATAATTAGGAGATATCTCCATCAACAGTTGGGAATCTAGGTCTAGAGCTACAGTAAGAAATGACGGCTAGAAGCAAATTTCCTTTGCATAAAGTTTTAAATGTTTTCATACCAATTCCTGCAGCTCTGGCTATACAAAAACTTGGGGGGGGGGTAGAAATTAAGTGACATAGATTCTTAAAATGATAGCTAACTCCTAGAGTGCTTAAGGGAGGCCAAGGCGGGCAGATCACCTGAGGTCAGAAGTTGAAGAGCAGCCCGGCCAACATGAAACCCCATCTCTACTGAAAGTACAAACATTAGCCAGGCGTGGTGGCGGGCACCTGTAATCCCAGCTACTCAGGAGGCTGAGGCAGGAAAATAGCTTGAACCCAGGAGGTGGAGGTTGCAGTGTGCCGAGACTGTGCCACTGCACTCCAGCCTGGGTGACAAGAGTGAGATTCCGTCTCAAAAAAAAAAAAAAAAGATACAACAGATATCTAAATAGAGCTGCTTTTTTTTAGTTCCCAAAATGATTTGTAATTTGTAAGTAACTTCTTTCACCACCATAATGCAATAGTTAAAGAAATGTATATCAAAAACTAACAAAAGCTAAAGAAAAAAAAAAACAAAAATGTAGCAACTCTTCTTAACTGTATAGCATCCACAGTAAGTAAAGCAATGAAACTGAATTAGTCAATTCTAGAAAACCTTGGTAAGCAAAAATTTTCCAAATCTGAAATCTTGGCAGGTTACTTTTAACAGGATTTAAAATAATTCAGAGATAAAAACATTTATTTTAAGTTTCTCAGTGAAATCTGTAAAACATAGGATCATTTATCATTGTACTTACTTAAGGTAAAAATCAATGATTACATCATTAAGAAACTCTCCTTCTTCTAAACACTCCAGATCTTCATTAGTTACTCCTAATCCCCCCTTAGTAGGTGGTGGAGGATAAACAATCAACCTTAAAAGTAAAAATAAAGTTAAAATATATTGATGTTGAATATCCTATTATCTAAGAGATTTCTTATATGAAACAATAACTGGGCAGTAGTATTCTGTAACTCAAATCTGTAAGGTAAAAAACATTTGACCTGGCATAAACAATGATATTTTCCTTCCTTTATCCTCACAAGCTACTAATGGTACTCCCATTGAGTATTATCTTTTCTTTTCCAATACTTTCCATGTGGGCTATTCTCAATAGGCTACTATCTCAATTAGTCTCTAATCAATAGGTTTTATCTCACAATCAGTTATATCATTGAAGACGCTTCTCTTCTTCATAATTTTTAACTTTCAATAAACTGATACAATAAATATAGCTTTTCCTTTCTCCATTTTCTAAGTTTGAATCCTCAAGACTAGTCCACTTCCTTTCAGAAAAGCTAGCAGTCAAAAATTGTGCACTGCTCCTGGTGGCTAAGCTATACCAGCAGCAGGGCAAAAAAGAAGTAACATGGGAGCTGAGGAGGAAGTCTCCCCATAACAAAGTGCCTGCCACATACAACTTAAGAGACTATAAAGGAAACAAACAATTTAATCACAACCAGAAAGTAGTAGAGAAGAGATGACAACTAATTAGTCATCCTTCTGCTGGCATTCTCTCTTAAAGCTTAGAAATAAGACCAGTTGCGAATTCCTGGCTATAATCTTGGAATAGGTAGAGCAATACTCAATGAAAAATGTAGTCAGTAATGAAGGTATAATATGTACTTCTTGCACCAGAAAGGTTCAGAATGGTAAGAGTTATCCACATTGATTTAATCTTAGTACCATGGCACCTAAATCAAAAAAGAAAATGTAAATTTAAAGTGCTAATATGATAGTTTCTATTTTACTGGCTATTTTCCTATCCTAGTCTTTCTTTCAAGTGTCTTTCTTCAAAACAAAGAAATAGAATCACATGGAGGTATAGAAATCACCATCAAATGCACAGACTCCATATTCTGTCTTAGCACCATGAGAAGACATGGATGAAATATGAACAAAGAAGCAATTTCCGAAAGAGAACTTGTAACAAACTCCAAAGTACCTTAAATTGAAGCATATTTTAGTAAGCAATTTCATTTTCCCTATCATATATTCAGATAAGGAATGTAGAATTTTTTAAATCATACATTGCTATTCAAATATTTTTAATAAACACTTTAATCTTACCAAATATGACACTTTGGCTGCCATTTATGTCTTACTGACATAAAAGTAAGTAAAATGGCACCTATTGTTTTCTTAATACATTTTTTAACTTCCTCATAATTTCTTTTTAAAAAACCCCTATTTCCATTACTATCAGCATGAAAGTAAAACTTAAAACATTTCAAAAGTTAAACTACTGAAAAGCAGCAACACGAATAAAAACTACTAATATGCCCATCTATTACAAACATGCTATGACAGTACATACTTCTGAACAGGTCCAGTGTGCCTGACTTCTCGCCATTCTTCATCTGGATTAGATGTAATAGAAAGGGAGTAGCAACCACTACTTTGCTTCTGCAGGAAGGTGTAAGTAGGCTTGGCTGCATCTGTGTTTGAGGGCTGGCAGAAAGCGGCAAGGAAAATGGTCTCAAACATCGTAACTTTCAAAAGAACAAAGTCAAAACAAAGACTTCTCTTACAAGTCTACTGTAAGAGAAACTGTGACTTTAAAAATCCCTATGAGTCATATCTATACTTTTAGATTTTCTATAGATATAACCAAACTAAAATAATACTTGTGATGAAAAGATATTGTATAAACAATGGTCAAAGATTAACTTGAAGTACTGTTTACAGATATGGACTACAGAATTTAAGAAGAATATAACAATTTTGCAGTTCAAAATGATCAAAAAATGTAATGAATATGAGGAAATAAAATTTAAAAGAAGCTACATTTATAATAATGTAATTCCATTAAATGGAAAATATATAAATATATACAATATAATTAGGATGCAAAATGTTGACATTATACATAGAGATGAAGTCTTATACTTTAACACTAATGTGGCTTTCTAAAGGCTAATAAAAGATTAGCCTCTGGCCAAACCCACGTATGTGCATGCATGTGCACAGGTGTGTAGATGAGTATGCCATAGCTTCTTAATAAATTCTTTTCTTTCTAGAACTATTTGGCAGAGATATACAAGCTACATGTATATTACCAACCGCCTATAAAAATGAACATAGCATTTTAAAACTTACTATTGTTTTCAAGATAATTTTAGCCTTACAAAAGAGTTGAAAGAAATCAACCTTGCCCAAATTCCCCTAATCTTATCATATACAACCATAATACAATGACCAAAACTAAAAAATTAACACTGGCATAATAGTATTAACTAAACTACAGATTTCATTTTGATTTCACTTTTCCATTAATATCCTTTTTCTGTTACAGGATCCTACAATTCCTTAGTCTTTTCTTGTTTTTCCTGACCTTGATACTTTTTTTTTTTTTTAGACAGAGTCTCGCTCTGTCATCAGGCTGGAGTGCAGTGGCACAATCTCGCTTACTGCAACCTCCACCTCCTGGGTTCAAGCGATTCTCCTGCCTCAGCCCTCCCAGTTGCTGAGGTTATAGGCGCGTGCCACCACACCCAGCTAATTTTTGAATTTTTAGTAGAGACAGGGTTTCACCATGTTGGCCAGGATGGTCTTGATCTCTTGATGTCGTGATCCACCCGCCTCGGCCTCCCAAAGTGCTGGGACTACAGGTGTAAGCCACTGCATCCGGCCGACCTTGATACTTCTAAAGAGTACTGGTCAATTATTTTGTAACTGGATTTGTCTCATTTTTCTCTACTGAGATTACATATTATTGGAAAGAATACTGCAGAAGTGATGTGGTACTTCTCAGTGCATGATATGAAGGGGTGTGTTATGTCAATATGTCTTATTATTGGTGATGTCCATTTTGATAACTTGGTTAAAGTGATGTCTACAAGGTTTCTCCACTGCAAAGTTACTACTTTTCTTTTCATAATTAATACATATTTTATGCTAGAGACTTTGAGATTATGCATATATTTTGTTTCTACTTAAATTTTTACTCATTAAATTTAGCATCTGTCAGTGGACTTTGACTGCAATAATCACAAACAAGTGATCTACTGGTGGTTTTATATTTCCCTTATTCCTTTTCATTTATTAATTGGATTTTTTCTAAGATATAATTGTCCCGTATCCACCGTGTATTATTTATTCATTCATTTACTAACTCAGCTATTTATATAAATATAGATGCATATTTATTTTTTATTTGGTTATAATCCCATGCTGTCCTTACTGATTTTGTTTAACAAATTGTTCCAGCATTGGCAACGGGAGCTCTTTTGGGTTGGTTCCTGTGCCCTTTCCACAAAATTTAGCATTTGAAAGCAGCCTAATATCAATGCATAAATATCAATGAATAAACCCTTCTGAACCTCCCCCTTCTCTGCCGATTATATTAATGACATGCTAACCTGAGATACTGATTTCAGCTTCATTTCTTCAGCAACAGCAACACCAGCAGGGAAAGAGTAAGTTGAAGCACAGTAATAATGAATAAAAGAACTTTCTTTTGAAGAGAGGTTCTGAAACAAAGGAAATGCCTGAACCCAAGACAATGGATAAGAAAGTTCTAATTCTCCACTGATTATACTTATTTCCGTCATAATATCTTTCAGCTTCAATTCTTCTCTTTGTGAAACAGGATTGTGTAGTTCAAGGAAAATGAATTCACTAGATTTTGCTACAAAAGGAAAAAATAATTTGTATTAATAGTATTATTTTTCAAGAGGATTATAATAAAAGTAATTTAATTATTAATAATAGTAAGGTTGGAATATAACCCCAAGTATTTTGTATTTTAGGTAATAATCAAGGCAAATTAATATCCCAAAAGCAGGCCATTAGTAATCCAGAATCAAAACTCACAATTGGTGGACTCTTGTTCTACTGCACTAAAATGTCACAATAGTACTGATTGCTATACCTGCAGTGCCTGACATTTAGTAATAGTAAACATTTGTTAATGTATCAATGAATGAATGAATATTATTTTTCTCTAGCCTCCTTTATGAATCAATTCTATCAACTAGAAAAGTATTCCAATTAAACACCTCCTACATTTTCTCCTCAGTCATTTCAATGGTGACCTCAAAAGACATTCTCTACCCAGATAATGCTTATAAATGGCTGTTTCTATTTTCCCCACCTTCTCTGCTATTTAATCATGAATTTTCCTACTACAAGTAATTAGGACAGGAAAATAACAAATTTGAAAGTTATAAAATTTAGTTCACTACTTAACATCTTTACTGTGCAGGAGAGTAGGAAAAGGTAGAGGGATCAAACAGGTAAGAAAGAACCTTACTAAATTTGATTGATGTAGTTCTAAACCCAACTCCTTTAGGAGTTTGAGACTAAACAAAGTTGAAAAATATCTCAAGATGTATATATATTATGTAGATAAGTGTTATAGGTGCATATAGGAAAGTATTCAACTGAATCTTAAAGGAATAATATATACATAAGTAAAGTGAATTTCACTTTTTAGGAACTAAAGAAAAGACTGAAGGCAAAGACTTTCATATTTTATTTAACTTTGCTGCTAATTCTGTCAGAGTTCATTATGATCAAGGGCAAGAAACTCATAAGAAAGGTAGTTGGCCAGGCACGGTGGCTCACACTTATAATATTAAAACTTTGGGAGGCCAAGGCAGGAGGAGAGCTTGAAGCCAGGAGTTTGAGACCAGCCTGAGGAACATATCAAGAGCCCATCCTTGGAAAAAGAGAAAGAAAAAAAAAAAAAAGGAGAAGAAAGAATGAATTTGGGCTTATTTCTGGGTTCTCTATTCTGTTTCATTGGTCTATTTGCCTATTTTTATCACACTGTTTTGGTGATCATGGCCTTATAGTATAGTTTGAAATCAGGTAATCTGATGCCTCCAGATTTGTTCTTTTTGCTTTGTCTTGCTTTGGCTATGCAAGCTCTTTTTTGGTTCTATATGAATTTGAGGATTTTTTTTTCTAGTTCTGTGAAGTATGATGGTGGTATTTTGATGGGAATTGCACTGAATTTGTAGATTGCTTTTGGCAGTATGGTCATTTTCACAATATTGATTCTACCCATCCATGAGCATGGGATGTGTTTCCATTTGTTTGTGTTGTCTATGATTTCTTTCAGCAGTGTTTTGTAGTTTGCCTTGTAGAAGTAAGCTATATTCCTCCTTGGCTAGCTATATTCCTAAGTATTTTATTTTTATTTTTTGCAGCTGTTGTAAAATGGGTTGAGTTCTTGATTTGATTCTCAACTTGGTGGCTGTTGGTGTATAGCAGAGCTACTGATTTGTGTACATTAATTCTGTATCCTGAAACAGTGACAGTTTGACTTCCCCTTTACAGATTTGAATGCTCCAACAAAGCAAACAAAAACAAAGTGGGGAAAGGACACCTTGCTTGACAAATGGTGCCAGGTAATTGGCAAGCCACACGTAGGAGAATGAAGCTAGAGCCTCATCTCTCACCTTATACAAAAATCAACTCAAAATGGATCAAAGACTTAAATCTAAGACATGGAACTATAAAAACTCTAGAAGATAACATTGGAAAAACCCTTCTAGACATTGGCTTAGGCAAAGATTTCATGACCCAAAAGCAAATGCATAAATAGGTGGGACTTAACTAAAGAGCTTTTGCATGGCAAAAAGAACAGTCAGCAGAGTAAACAGACAACCCACAGAGTGGGAAAAAATGTTCACAATCTATACATCCAACAAAGGACTAATATTCAGAATCTACAAGGAACTCAAACAAATTAGCAAGAAAAAAACAAACCCATCAAAAAGTGGGCTAAGGACATGAATAGACAATTCTCAAAAGAAGACACACAAATGGCTAATAAACATGAAAAAATGCTCAACATCACTAATGATCAGAGAAATGCAAATCAAAACCACAATGCAATGCCACCTTACTCCCACAAGAATGGTCATTATCAAAGAATGAAAAAAATAATAGAAGTTAGTGTGGATACAGTGAAAAGGGAACACTTTTACACTGCTGGTAGGAATGTAAACTAGTACACCCACTATGGAAGAGTGTGGAGATTCCTTAAAGAACTAAAAGTAGAACTACTATTTGATCCAGCAATCCCACTACTGGGTTTCTACCCAGAGGAAAGGAAGTCAATATACAAAAAAGATACTTGCACACACGTTTATAGCAGCACAATTTACAAGTGCAAAAATGTGGAACCAGCCCAAATGCCCATTGATCAATGAGTGGACAAAGAAACTGTGGTACTTATATATGATGGGATACTACTCTGCCATAAAAAGGAATGAATTAATGGCATTCACTGCAACCTGGATAGGACTGGAGACTATTATTCTAAGTGAAATAACTCAGGAATGGAAAACCAATCAGCCCATGTTCTCACTCATAAGTGGGAGCTAAGCTATGACGATGCAAAGGCATAAAAATGATACAATAGGCTTTGGGGACTCAGGGGGAAAGGGTGGGAAGGGGGTGAGGGATAAAAGACTACAAACTAGGTTCAGTGTATACTGTTCAGGTTATGGGTGTACTAATATCTCACAAATTACCACTAAAGAACTTATGTAATCAAATACCACCTGTTTCCCAAAAACCTATGGAAATAAAAAAAAAATTTTTTAAATAAAAGATTTCAATCCTTTTTAAAAAAAGGAGGAGGAGGGAGGGAAATGAGGAAGGAGGGAGGGAGGAAAGGAGGGAGGAAGGAGGAGGAAGAAAGAAGGAAGAAAGAAGAACAGAAATTGCCAGGCATGGTGCTGCACCCCTGTAGTCCCGGCTACTTGGGAGGCTAAGGTGGGAGGATCACATGAGCCCAGGAGTTTGAGGTCATGGGGAGCTATGAACATACCACTGCACTGTAGCCCAGGCAACAGAGTAAGACTGTCTCAGATGAAAAGTAAAGAAGGAAGGAAGGTAGTCAAAGATGACAAATGATTAAAAGATAAGGCATTCCTTTTTTAAGAACTTACAATTTTCAAGGTAAACAATATTTAAGATTTTTTAAGCTATTCTTTTTATTTTAGATGAGAATTTCAATTGGTTGAATACAACTATCAGGAGAAATTACGTGAATTAAATAATCTATCCTAAAATTAAGAAACAAAATTATTTTAACTAAATAAAATCAATTTCAATTCACTGAAATAACATTCTATTAAATTATTTTAGAAAAAACTATTTATAGGACAATTTCAAGTTATCCTGAAATTTAGAAATCATTTTATACTCACATTGCTGGCTTAATACAGAGTGTTCTAATTGGTTCTGAATCTCTTGAAGATAACCCGAAGAGACCCAGAAGAAAAGAATAGCATGACTCCTTTTACTGTGATTATCATCCTTACTTTTCCATAACCCAAACCGCTTTAAATGTGTGGTATCCACTAGCAATGAAATCTCATTCAGCGACACTGAAAGAAATAAAAGATAATAATTTTAAAAATTAATCCATTTAAGAATATACTACTTAAACATTATATGACACTTGTTAATATATTACATTTTTTTAAAAAAGAATTACATAGAAGTTTTTTCAAAAATATATTTCCAGTGCACTTTGCTAACCTTAGCTAAAATGCCCCAAGCAGTGTTATTAAGGTAAAAAAAAATCACGTTACAATTAGGAAGGGCTAAATAATTATTAAATGACAATTAGAGATTTAGTCCCTCACACTACATGATTTCAGTTATAACCAGAGAGGGAAAATTTGAGATTAAATATTCATAGCATAAAAACTGTCTGGAGAGAATGCTCTCCAAGAATTCTGATAATCATTAGCAAAAAGGAAAAAAAAAAGTCCATCAATGCAGAAAACTAAGCACAGCATAACTCAGAAAATTATGTATTTCCATCCTTTCTATATTGGTCAATACTACATAAACCAAGATTACAAGTGCCATCATAGGCCAATTTCTGCCCATCTTTCTTCTCCTAAGGCATTTGCATTCCACTATACAGATGAGCCACTATCAAAAGAGTCTCAAGAAAATTAAGAGGTTCTGAATGGTCTAAGGAGACATTTCTTTTAAAATTCCTCCAGGTCTTATTTCTCAAAACTTCTAGATGATCATTCTAAATTTAGTCTTTCTCCCTGTTAGGGAGCTAAAGGAATCTCCTCTGAGGACTTTTACTCTTTAATTCAAAGAAACATTTAAAAAAAAAATGATTTAAAGAAGTCCTGAAGGTCACCTAGTTCAACTGCAAGACAGCAAGCAACTGAACTGGAATATAAATATCAGTTAAGCATAAACCCAAGATGGGCACCTAGTTGAAACAAACCTCTTAGTATTCCTCCCAGCATTATTTCCTGGAACTTGGCTACTCAAAGAGTAGTCTAAGCTGAGCTTGTGACATTAGTATCAGCATCATCTGGAAGACTGTTAGAAATGCAGAGTATCAGGCCCCACCTTACATCTACTGAATCAGCAGATCTCAGTTTTACAGCCCACTCCAACCCCGTGATTCATATGAACATATTTTAATATGAAAATCTTTCCATGATGAGTATTTACCAGTCATCTTAATGTTCCCAAGCCAGTCATTCTATTCTTCATACTGTAACTCTTCCATTCTGAAAACTGTCAGTAAAAACTGGCAGCAAAGCTTAAATCAAAACCAGGATGAGAGCCCTCAGAATACTACTCAGCATTTCTTTCTCATGAAGCTCACAGCCCCACAGGTACATTTGATACTATTTCTGTGAAATCTACACAACTATTACTAACCTAATTGCTCTTGGTGTTTAGAATGAAAGCTAAATTTTCTTTAGAAAGACAACTTTAAAAGATTATCTTTTAAAAAAAAGAATTTAACACCATCATGAGAAAAATGTATACCTCATTACCAAGTCTGCCCCAATATATGGTTTATTCTGTTACAGGTGTATAGCAGATACTGAAAGTGGGAGTTGCCTACCTACTTTTCCATTTCTTCTTCTTCCTCAGTAACGAACCCTAATTTTCCAGATACACAGTTTGGAAAACTCTATTTCCTAGCTTCCTTTACAAATGGGTGTGTGGTCATGACTAGCTGGCTAATAAAATGTAAGCAGAAAAGGTTATGTAGCATGGACATCCAAGAAGTCTCCTTAAAAGGGCTAGAGATTGGTAGCATGTGCTTCGTTTACGGTTTTCCCCTTCCTACTGCTTTCTGTCTAAAATACCAACACGATGATGGAGTATAGGCTACAATAATGGCCATGAGACAAACTTGAGGATGCAAGTCATGTGTCAGGAATGACAGAATAGAAAAATGCAACTCATGTGTCAGGGTCATGTGCCCCCGGATGATGAAGGAAACGTCACATCAGTTCAGATTACTTCTGGATTTCTTCTATGTGAAGCAAAAATAAAATATTTTCTTTATGTCATTGTTACTAACAGCCAAACATAATTAAGACCTAATATAAATATGGATAAATCAATTTTTTCTGCAGCCGCATAGAAAAAGAGGAAACATTTAGACCCTCAGGTTCCCACCTACAAAAACCTTTTATACATATGCTTTGTTTTAAAAAGATTTATGGGAACTTGGACAGGATTTGAGGAAGAAGACTAATATTTTCTTCTTCCATTATAAAATTATAAACCTATTACCACTGAAGAGAGTATTTTTCCACAATTTACAATAAAATTTGTCTTTTAAAAATTATATGCAATAGAAAAGTTATAAAACAAGAAAGCAATATTATAAATATTAACTATGAAAATCTAAAATATCATTTTTGATGTTTGTATCACAAGAATTTGAGAGGTAGCTCTCTCTGTTACCCAGGCCTTTAACTATAAATTGTAGTGCTATCTTTCCTGAAATTATTATCCCCTTTTAAAATCATATGACTTTTTTTGTATCTTCTACAGAACAAATATTACATTATTCCTTAATAATTTATTGGTATTTCCTAGTTAGGACTATCGATATACTTATTCTGTGCCTTTATATTCTTAATAATTAAGATATAGTAAGCAATCAAATTATTAGAACAATTATCATAACATAGTTTTGGATTCTGTACATAAAGTATCTGTGGAATCCAACTAAATCCAACTAATCCAACTAAAGCTACTCTGATAGCATCTCCAATCATGGAACAGAAGCCTCCTCTTCTCTAATTCCTATCTGTGCCGTTTGTGTGTTTTTCTTCCTTGTTCTTTTTATAATTCATTATATAAAAGGATTATCCTCTATTGTTTACTGGTTTTCTTAGTGTCATAATTTATTCTGAAAGGTTTTCAGTTGGGAAGAGAATGAGAAAATGGTGTGAGTCTCTATAAGTTACAGGTACATTTTCCAGTCTACTTTCCCTTACTCAGATATGCAATTGTATAAAATTCTCTTGCCCTGTATGCAAAAATATTTTACATGTTTGTGTGCAATATTAAACATTTTCCTTATGCTTCTTTTCTTATAGTTACTGTTACCCATTTTTATATATACCAAAATATTCTTGTTATCTATCAAAACTGTATTTCTGTTAATCCCAAGAAATCACCATGAATCCTTTAATATTGTTTGATTTACAGTCATTAAAACAATAGCATACTATTTTCAGAGCAAGTTTATTATAAAACATTTTTACTCCATTTGGAATTGCTAAAAAATATTAAGGTAAAAAAATATTAAACTTAGTTTTACTTAAATTTATACTAAGAACTATAGTAAAAAGACAAGGTCATAAGAGAATAACTTACCTTGAAATGGGATCTTAATATATTTTTTTGTGATCTGAAGAAAAAATTAAAAGGCAAACAATGAATGATCACTCAAAATGTGTTACTATTCAAATTAATTTTTTTTTTCAAATCACAAGTACATATTCAAAGTCTACACTATAAGTGTTCAAGCCTTTTTATCAATAAGCCAATAAAATATTTCATTACAAAGACTTAGTTTTATGGGAGTTTTAAGAACCCCATGTACTTTAATTCTCAATATGCTAATTTACAAAAACCAGTAAGACTAATAAATATATTTTTCAAAATATTTTCTGAAAATGTAAACACTAAAATGAAGCCCAGAAGAAACTACCAGGAGACCTCTAAGTAGCAGTGACTCTGGTAAATATAAATATTCCATAAAACAGAGTTTGATTTTTGGCTTTGCTGACTCAGCAGCTGATGATGATTCCTTTGGTGATGAACTCACACTAACCAAACTCACAAGAAACTGCTAAACAAACCAAAACGCCAACATATTATATTATTTATAACGAGAAATTAAAATTGTCCAAAGGCTTGTGTCCCACCTGATGTGAGCATTCTGTTTCTGTACCAAAACTATCAATTATAATTTTAAAAGCTGCTTTTACCACATAAAAGCAGAACTAGAAAAATCAGTTGTTTAACATGAAATGGCTACAAAAGTCATAGATCCAACTTCATTCACAACAGTGATCCACCTGTCAAAATGGTAACGTAAATTAAGTCCCTAAGCCAGAACACCCTCTTTCCTGGATGACTTTTAGGTGGGCACCACCACCGTCCGCATTCCTAGCATTCATCTTTCTTTGTTTCATGTTATGAATTCCCTTCCAACTGAGGTTCTTGCTCTTTCTACTCCTTCTGTCCCAGGACACTTATTTTCTCTAGGTACCTTTTGTAGGTATCTGACTTCCTTAAGAGTTGCTTTTATAATAGCGTTGTGGAGCACGTAGCCAAATCTTCCATGTTCTATCTAAAACAGACTTCTGCTTTTTTGTTTTTCCATTAATGTCAAATGAATTTGTGCCTATTTATTTATTCTTTGGTTAAGTTTTGCTGTTGTTCAATATACTTTGTTGATCAAATCAGGTATGGTCTGTGAGCACAAAACAAAATCAAAATGTTCTTGGTACGTGAGCTCCATATAAGGATCAAACAATGTTCAGTGAAACCACAGGTTTATTTTTACTCCATTTATTTTCCAATTTAAAAATTATTTCATCTTGTACTTTCACAAATATAAAACCCTATATTTCATAAGGTAAGTCAGCCACTAAAACAAAATAGATCATAATTAGCTAAAAGCTGAGCTTGGAATTAAAATCCTGCCTCTGTTGTCTCTATCACTTACACAAGTAATAAGTATGTAAACTTAGGTAACTTACCGAACTTCTTCCAGCTTTAGTAAGACCCTTAATCAAGGGGAGCTGTTATCATTAGACACTAGCATCTGATCAAGAATGTTATATAATTTAATCAAAATCTAATTATTGTTACTTTCACATAACTGCCACCATATTTAATGTATACTGTCCCTTTCCAAACTCTTTCTGGCATATTTCACAGGGTCTTTAATCCTATAAAATATATCTTGGCAAACGTAAATCATTAGTACTAAAAAATAAACAGAAGCAGTATTTGTCTTTCAGAATTTGCACAGCCATGACTTCCAAATTATAAAGTAGAAGTCGTGCATCTCTATGTCCCCATCCACTACTTACTACACTATTCTCTCACTTTTCCCCATCAAGTGCTCGGGAGCTATCAAACTTTTCTACTTGGCAAGGATCTGATATTCATTTATATCTCTAAATAATGACTAACAGGTTACCTCTGCAGAGTTAAAACCCTGCTCCAAGCAGACTTAACTCCTGGATTTAAAAATAAGAAAAATTTTGTGGCAGTAAGGTAAACCTAGTTCTCTGAAATCATACCAACTTTGTTTAAACTTAAGAATAAAGCTAATAATAAAAGCTATTTTATAATTTCTTACAATAGCTAGTACAGTTATCTGAATATAGTATTACATAATTTCTCATACTAACAACAAAGATTTTTAAGAAAGACAATGTTTACATTTATTGCAGCATTTGCTACACTAAAAACAACAACTTAAGTGTCTAACTATAGGAACATGTCTCTAATTTATGTAATAATTTCCAGCCATAAGTATTTTTCTAATTCAGCTAAATTGTAACTACTGTGAGACTGAGAACAGTGTCTCCAGTATCTACAATAATTCTAAGGTGGTCACTGAATGTATGGAGAATAAATGAATTTAATTATCTATATCTTTATCCACCAAAAAAGAAAAAAAAAAGTTCTTTAATTTCTGTTACAGTGCATCCTGAACTGTCTGAAAAAGAATATACATAAAAACCTGAAATTTTTACCTTTTTCCCTTTTTTAGGTTATTCATTATACTTAAAAAAAAATTTAATTGCTTATGTTCTCTCCATCATAACTGTCTTAATTTTTGTAGAATTCTTCTCAGCTTTTGTTTGCATGCATATATTTACTTTGATTTACTAAATCACTTTCCCATAATTAAACATTTAAGTTTTTAATCTAAGAAATGTTCCAGCAAACATAAATAAAATTTTTTAACTTTTATTTTAGGTTCAGGGGTACATGTACAGGTCTGTTATACATGTAAACCCGTGTCACAGGGGTTTGTTGTACAGACTGTTTTGTAGCCCAGGTATTAAGCCTAGTACTCGATAGTTATTTTTTCTGCTCTTCTCCCTCCTCCCACCTTCAAGTAGGCTCCAGACTCTGTTACTCTCTTCTTTGTGTCCATGAGTTTTCATCATTTAGCTCCCACTTATAACTGAGAATATGCGGTATTTGGTTGTCTGTTCCTATGTTAGTTTGCTAAGGATAATGGCGTCCAGCTCTATCCACATTCCTGGAAAAGACATGATCTTATTCTTTTTTTAGCTGCATATATGCACTACATTTTCTTTATCCAATCTGTCATTGATAGGCACTTAGGTTGATTCCATGTGTTTCCTATTATGAATAGTGCTGCAATTCACATGCATATGTCTTTATGGTAGAATGACTTATATTTGTCTGGGCATAATACCAGTAATGGGATTGCTGGGTTGAATGGCAATTCTGTTTTTAGCTCTTTGAGGAATCGCCACATTACAGTCCACAATGATTGAACTAATTTGCACTCCCACCAACAACGTGTAAGTCCTCCCTTTTCTCTGCAACCTCACCATCATCTGTTATTGACTTTTTAACAATAGCCATTCTGACTGGTATGAGATGGTATTTCACTGTGGTTTTGATTCGGATTTCTCTAATGATCAATGATACTGAGCTTTTTTTCATCTGTTTCTTGGCCACATGTATATCTTTGGAAAAGTGTCTGCTCACGTCCCTTATCCATTTTTTCATAGGGTTGTTTTTTTACTGTAAATTTAATTTCCTTATAGATGCTAGATATTAGACCTTTGTCAGATGCCTACTTTGCAAATATTTCCTCCCATTCTGTAGGTTGTCTGTTTACTCTGTTGATAGTTTCTCCTTTTTTTCATTTTTTTATTATACTTTAAGTTCTAGGGTACATGTGCACAATGTGCAGGTTTGTTACATATGTATACATGTGCCATGATAGTCTCTTTTGCTGTGTAGAAGTTCTTTAGTTTAACTAGATCCCATTTGTCAATTTTTGTTTTTGTTGTGATTTTGACATCCTCGTCATGAAATATTTGCCTGTGCCTATACTGAGAATGATATTGCCTAGGTTGTCTTCCAGGGTTTTTATAGTTTTGGGTTTTACATTTAAGTCTCTAATCCATCTTGAGCTGATTTTTGTGTATGGTATAAGGAAGGGGTCCAGCTTCAGTCTTTTGCATATGGCTAGCCAGTTATCTTAGCACCATTTGTTGAATAGTGAGTGCTTTCCCCATTGCTTGTTTTTGTCTGCTTTGCCAAAGATCAGATGGTCATAGGTGTGCAGCTTTATTTCCAGGCTCTATATTCTGTTCCATCGACCTATGTGTCTGTTTTTGTACCAGTACCATACTGTTTTGGCTACTGTAGCCCTATAGCATAGTTTGAAGTTGGGTAACATGATGTCTCCAGCTTTGTTCCTTTTGCTTAGCATTCCCTTGGCAATCAGGCCTCTTTTTTTGGTTCCATATGAATTTTAAAATAGTTTTTCATATTTCTATGAAGAATGTCATTGATAATTTGATAGGAATAGCCTGAATCTATAAACTGCTTTGGGCAGGATGGTCATTTCAATTATATTGATTTTTCCTATCCATGAACATAGAATGTTTCTCCATTTGCTTGTGTCATCTGATTTCTCTGAGCAGTGTTTTGCAGTTCTCATTGTAGAGCTCTCTCACCTCCCTGGTTAGCTGTATTCATAGGTATTTTATTCATTTTGTGGCAACTGTGAATGGGATTGTGTTCCTGATTTGGCTTTTGGCTTTGCTGCTGTTGGTGTATAGGAGTGCTAGTGATTTTTTTTTAATGTACTGAATTTTATTACATAAAAGTACAATTAGTAAAATAATATATTAATTTATTTGAATATACTTTTAACTATAATTAATCATTTATTCCTCTCACTACAATGTTGACAAGTATTACTCTGAACACCTACCTTATACAATACTTAACATAAGTTAACTACAAAGAGCCTCTCCACTTACATTTTCATCATGCATCTTACATTTTAATGTCCTTATTCTTTCATAGAACAGGTCATAAATAACGCCCAACTAACAAAAAAGAATCTCTAATATCTCTAATGCAGCAACAATTGATCACATGCTTTCACATGTGAATACAATAGGAATAAAATAACAGCATAAAGTAATTTGAAAGCTGTATTACATCATTACTCACTTTTCAAAAAAATTTTTTCAAGGAAACAAGTATACTTTCATTGTAATTACAATGCTTCAAAAAATCTACTCCCTTTAAAGTTATATACAAATAATTTATCTAACAACTTTAGTTGTAGGTTAGTTTTTATACTCAACACTCTGATTTAGTGTA